GAGAGAGAGAGAGAGAGAGAGAGAGAGAGAGAGAGCTGTGCGTGTGTGTGTGTGAAAGAGAGAGAGAGCGAGAGAGGACGGATGAAAGGATAGACGACAGCAGTGCATATATTGTATATTTACAGCAATCAGCAGAGCGTCCCGTTGCGTAATCATGCATGTACACAAGTCGCGCGATCACTGTGTGAGTGGATGTTCGAATGCGTAGCCTGGAGGCTAGGCGACCGGTTCCGGACGCGTAGCCTGGAGGCTAGGCGACCGGTTCCGGGTGCGTAGCCTGGAGGCTAGGCGACCGGTTCCGGACGCGTAGCCACTGCGTAATAATTATTACATAGGTTATGTGCACGATGTAATACACTACCCAAAGGTCTCCCATCAGTAAAGTAGAAACAACAAAACAAAGGCGAGCTGCCTAAACAAGTGGTTACCTAGCTAATGAAAACAAACCACTCTGGGCGTCACCACCGGTTTATTCCCGGTTGGCCTATATACTTTCATTTTGCCTACAGCGAAATTCCCATTTTGTCTATAGCAAAACTCCCAGTTGGTCTACACCCATTTCGCCTACTCCCAATTCGTCTACACTAAAAATCCACCCTATTCCCATTTTGTCTGCCATCAGTTTGTCCACTAAATAATCATTTATAAAATATGGTTTTAATTAGCATACATAGACTAGACAGAGTGGCACTGGCATCCACGCTAATTTCTCCCGGTATTTGTTGTAATATCAATACTACGACGAAATGGCACTCTTAACCATTCTGAGAGTAGACAAAATGTGAGTAGGTGAAATGGGAATATTACCCATTCTGAGAGTAGACGAAATGGGAAGTAGGCGAAATGGGATGTTACTACTACTACTAGTAGTAGTACTACTAGTTGTTACCTCACCACTTTGAGTCAGCAGATGTCGGCTAGCCATAACAGTAACATTTACCATAAAGGTAATTAGTAAATGAGATTACACCAGCCGTTTCCTATTACTGTTGCTCGTACAGACGTGTAAGAAGCGAAGGCCGGAAGGGCTACACGGGTAGAGACAAACGGTGCAAATCCACTTTAGGTACCTTAGGTATCACGAAGTGATGCACAGATTTCTGTGTATCATCAACTGATGCACAAAGTGACAGACTTTCCGTATATCAAGGAAAGATGAAAAAACCCTAACCCTAACCCTAAGTCATAAAGTATAACCTTAGCTATCACGAAGTGTGTTAGGGTTAGGGTTTTTCCATCATTCCTTGATATACGGGAAATCTGTGCATCAGTTGATGATACACAGAAATCTGTGCATCAGTTGATGATACACAGAAATCTGTGCATCACTTCGTGATACCTAAGGTGCCTAAAGTGGATTTGCGCCGAGACAAACAGTAGCCGAGTAGGTAGTCAGTAGTGCTGATAGGGTCTATGTCCCCATGGGTACTGCCAGAACGTACCCTGGGTACGGTCCTGTATACCGAAACGTACCCTGGGTACGGTCCTGTATACAGGAACGTAACCGGGTTACGGTCCTGTATACAGGAACGTAACCGGGGTACGGTCCTGTATAAAGGAACGTAACCGGGGTACGGTCCTGTATACAGGAACGTAACCGGGGTACGGTCCTGTATAAAGGAACGTAACCGGGGTACGGTCCTGTATACAGGAACGTAACCGGGGTACGGTCCTGTATAAAGGAACGTAACCGGGGTACGGTCCTGTATACAGGAACGTAACCGGGGTACGGTCCTG